ATATCACAGATCGCTTGGCGGAGAGTGAAACTGATGCGCTCAGTCAGAGAGTGTTCGGCGAGTGAAAATATATCTGAGCTAAACTTATACTTAGCCTCCAACTCACACACTGGCGAGTAAAATCTGAGAATTTATTAGCAATTGGCTAATATTAGACATCATTTAGTCGCCCAGAGTGAAGATTTAGTCGCATATGCGAGTGATTTACTCGCAATGTAGAGGGTTGCTTGAACAACAACTCTACTTAGCTACGTCATGTCAACATTCACTTCGATGGTGGAGTGACTCATTTCCTGGAATTGTCTGTCATGTTAAGATGTTCCTGTATGTCTGATAAGAGCAGTGCTTAATCAAACCTCTGCATCTTCATCATGCACAGCGCTATTAAGCAGCGCTTCAGTTGTGAAGAGCAGATGGCTTTATCTGTATCTTATAATCATGAAAATTCCTCTGGTTGCTAGGAAGCAGAAGCATTAGAGACCACAAGTCTACTGGAGAACTCTTAGGATGGTCTCTAATGACATCGAACACTCAACTACTATGCATATCCATAATGTCAACATGATTACCCAGAAATAACAGAAATGCAATCTTAGAAGAAATTTGGAGACATCAAGCTTATTGAGCTCTAATTAAAAACTTTTGTTCAACAGACAGGCAAGTGCAATGTTATTTTATAGTAAATGTGGCAATATTCTGCATTTTAGGAATACAGCAATGCCAAACAAGGATGAGTATGATGAAGCTGTAGGTGTGGTGTGTTATAAGGCTGAGTGGTGCCGGCCGTGACCTACCTGACTGGGGTCGTGTGATAGCGCTCTCGTACACAGGGATTCCCTCCCCCACGTTGTTGAAGGCCTTCAGTGTGATAACGTAGTGCGAGCTGGGATCTGGCAGGGAGAAAGCCAATCATTTAGCTTATCAAGCCCGCAGCTCCTCTGAGAGCTTCAACCATATTCATCATCCTAGCAGGGGTGCATATTTAAACACCATTATTGATTCTAGCTCTCGTGTAATTAGATGAATTACGAAAACTTAAATTGTGCTGTTTCTTCTGATGATTATTTTTCTCGTTCCTTCAAATGTAATTACAATGGGGTGGAGAGAGGGCTAAATCTCCCACTCTTGAGTAGCTACAATCCATTTACCCAGTTCTGTTTACTTTAATTCACTTCTAGAGGCAACGGAGCTATTTCTTCACTGTTACTTTATGTCATGAAGGTGTGAATGATTAGAAACGTAAATTAAAATTACCAATTCAGTTTACACTGAGCTTCAGAGGATAATATAGTTCCATGGTATTATAGGATATCGTAATATGGTAAAACTCGGTATGTATCATCACAATAAGCATAAACAGATAAAGTTCTACATAAAGTAAAGTACATAAAGTATTCTTTGAATTAAGTACCAAGTATCAAGTACCATATTTTATGCATATGACAATAATTTGATATGTAATTATTTTGATAAGTTGAGTTATTTTTACACAAGTTTTTATAGTCCTACATGGCAAAAAATAAATAAATAAAAATAATTAATTAAACATTTTCTGAAATATATTATCAAATACTGTAGATTTACATAAATATATTTTGATGAATTTTACTTATATTTAATTTTTTTTAAATACATTTTAATTGAATTTATATGCTCAAACTCAAATGTTCAATTTAAATGATCAAACATTCAACTTAAATATTTATTTACTAAAAAGCATTTTAAAAATTACTTTTACCCAAAATGTATTTTCTTGCCCCTCAAAGCAGATTTTGTAATATTTTTTTCATAAACAAAGTATTTTTTTCAAAGCAGAATTATTATAATGGAAGATCTTACTCAAGTTCTCAATGGTGTAGTATCTCTGTTTGTAGTCCACTTTAATGGTCTGGGCATGAGGGCTGCCGATCCCATAGCCGATAGTATAACCCCTCACCACAATGTCCTGGTTCTCTGGGGGCGTCCAGCTCACTACAATGCTGTTCACAAGTGGCCGCACGTGCAAGGAGCTCGGGACGGCTGGCACAGTTGTCTCTGAAACCAACGAACAAGCAAAATTACACTTTGTCATCCTAATCAAGCACCAGTGTCCACAAGATATCTGTCTGTTTTTACCATCCAGATCGCTCTCAAATGTCTCAGCAGTGGTCCAGTCTGTGGCCGGACCTGTGCCGTTGACCGTAATGGCAGACACTCGCAACATATATTCAGTGCCTCGCTGCAGACCTGAAAAATACAAGAAGAACTTCAATACAGGCTTTTGAATCACTTGAATTTGGTTCTACAAATACATATTCACAAGCTTTGTGAAACAAATATCACTTTTCAGCTAAAAGTGCACAAATGAACTCGATTTTTATGTTTGTTTGCGCTTCCCAGGATGTTCAGGGCGGTTCCCTGAGCGCCGCTAGTTTAAATCACTAACCCTACGTATGAGCAATAGTAAAAGTGAAGCACCACTTCTCAACCAATCAGTCAGCTCATTTCTCTGGAAACAAACAGAAAGATGCTTCACAACGCTCCACGTTTCTAAATCCATTTACTGAGACAAGATCGATAACCACCCCCGCATAATCATTATTGGCTCTGCTGTACGACATACTGACCTACACGCTACAGCATTGCCTAGAGTGCTGATTTATAAAGGTCTGCTTCTACAAATCTGTATTACACTGGACTGACACAAACAACAAGATGAGAACTGACTGATTCCGGAGGGGAAAAGCAAAAAAAATGTTTTTCATAATTTCACATGTCTGATGCCATGGGCATGTTCTGGTTTTCACAGATGGAGGAATGCCTGCTGTCGTTAAATAAGCCATTAATAAGCGTCTGCTTAGAGTGTCGAATGCAAAAGTCAGAGCTGTTCCTACAGCCTTGTGGGAGACACTCCACTTCAAGCCTTTGAATTATCAAACATCTTATCTCAACTCAAATGGAACAGAAAACAACCATTATGCTCTTTGATGCCAACCAACCACAGCATGACTCCCATGAAGCTGTTGAAATCTATTTTGAATTTAATTCTCACTTTTGTTTCATTAATGGATAGAGTTTGTCACATGAGGCTTTATTTTTTGCAGGCTCATCTATTTTGTAATGTCTGAGAAATATATATTTTCCAGAGCTGTTGGTGGGGTTGACATGGCAGCTCAGAAGCACTGGTGTACAAGTGTATGGACAAAATTTACTCGTGCCTTTTAAAAAAAAATTCTCAACCAATGTGGGTTTTTGCAATGGCTGACACTTATGCCAGTATCTTGAGCAGGATGGCCAAGGACAGATACACTGGGGCTGTTAATGGATTAAAAAAAATAATCTAATTAATTACATGACACACTAATTAATTATTCAAAACGGGATCAGGCCAGATGAATAAATGTGTCAATTTTGTTCATTATTTTTCGTAATTAATGGTGCTAAATTAACTTGAAGTAACTAAATTGACAGGCCTATAATAATATCTTATAATGTATGCATATTTTATATAATATATACATACATATATAATATTTATATGATATGTAAAAAATATATAATATTTAAATATATATATATATTTTTAATGAATTAATTAATACATTTTTAAATTAGTCAAATGAATATATCTATAAATTAAATTAAATATCTAGAAACTAAATTAATACTTAATATACAATTTAAACAATAAAAAAACTAAAAATATTTCCAAAAAAGTATTTTTATTTATGTATTTATTTATAAATTTTTTTACATTATTTTGTCATTTTGAAAAAATGCAGAAATTACAGATTTTGCATTGTCAAGTCTGTCAGTAGACACACACACACATATATATATATATATATATTTGTTTGTGAAATGGCACAGTTTTATAAATATCTGAAAGTACACTCTTAACATCAGTCAGTCAAGCATTATAATATGATAATCAATGTTATTTAATGATAGAACTTTTGTAATTAGAATTAAAACTTGATAACCATGTATGAATGCATATTAGTCATTTTAACTGAACTTCGGGCTGGTGGTGGTGCTTTTTTGGTCATTCAGTGTTTCTGTAAAAATTTTTTAAAAATAATTGGGGAAAAGCTAACAGAAATACTGATTAGATAATAATGATACGAATTCTACTAATAAGAACAATATAAAACACACCAAGGATTAATGAGCTACTGGATTCATGAATATTAATCAGGTTGTGTGTGTTCGCTCGAACTGATTTGCTGAAATCAAAACAGGGACGATAATAGGTGAGCGCTAGCCAATGAGATTGCCGTTTGCGCATTAGTTCCGCCCACTACCGGAGAAAGCGGTAGTTCTTAAAACCTGAAGAATTCCAATGGAATTCCGTTATTTTGACAGCAAAATACAACAAAGAATATCGTTTACATGTAGCGCGCATAGGTAGCGCGTCAATTCTCTCTCTCCCTCTCTCGCTGCGTGTGTGTGAAACAAAGCGACGGCGAGTCGTGCGCCTTCACACTAGAGTTTACGGTACGTTGTGCGTTGCACATCCATTCAGATGAACTGAAAAACAGCACAGATCGCTTGGCGGAGAGTGAAACTCTGATGCGCTCAGTCAGAGAGTGTTCGGCGAGTGAAAATATATCTGAGCTAAACTTATACTTAGCCTCCAACTCACACACTGGCGAGTAAAATCTGAGAATTTATTAGCAATTGGCTAATATTAGACATCATTTAGTCGCCCAGAGTGAAGATTTAGTCGCATATGCGAGTGATTTACTCGCAATGTAGAGGGTTGCTTGAACAACAACTCTACTTAGCTACGTCATGTCAACATTCACTTCGATGGTGGAGTGACTCATTTCCTGGAATTGTCTGTCATGTTAAGATGTTCCTGTATGTCTGATAAGAGCAGTGCTTAATCAAACCTCTGCATCTTCATCATGCACAGCGCTATTAAGCAGCGCTTCAGTTGTGAAGAGCAGATGGCTTTATCTGTATCTTATAATCATGAAAATTCCTCTGGTTGCTAGGAAGCAGAAGCATTAGAGACCACAAGTCTACTGGAGAACTCTTAGGATGGTCTCTAATGACATCGAACACTCAACTACTATGCATATCCATAATGTCAACATGATTACCCAGAAATAACAGAAATGCAATCTTAGAAGAAATTTGGAGACATCAAGCTTATTGAGCTCTAATTAAAAACTTTTGTTCAACAGACAGGCAAGTGCAATGTTATTTTATAGTAAATGTGGCAATATTCTGCATTTTAGGAATACAGCAATGCCAAACAAGGATGAGTATGATGAAGCTGTAGGTGTGGTGTGTTATAAGGCTGAGTGGTGCCGGCCGTGACCTACCTGACTGGGGTCGTGTGATAGCGCTCTCGTACACAGGGATTCCCTCCCCCACGTTGTTGAAGGCCTTCAGTGTGATAACGTAGTGCGAGCTGGGATCTGGCAGGGAGAAAGCCAATCATTTAGCTTATCAAGCCCGCAGCTCCTCTGAGAGCTTCAACCATATTCATCATCCTAGCAGGGGTGCATATTTAAACACCATTATTGATTCTAGCTCTCGTGTAATTAGATGAATTACGAAAACTTAAATTGTGCTGTTTCTTCTGATGATTATTTTTCTCGTTCCTTCAAATGTAATTACAATGGGGTGGAGAGAGGGCTAAATCTCCCACTCTTGAGTAGCTACAATCCATTTACCCAGTTCTGTTTACTTTAATTCACTTCTAGAGGCAACGGAGCTATTTCTTCACTGTTACTTTATGTCATGAAGGTGTGAATGATTAGAAACGTAAATTAAAATTACCAATTCAGTTTACACTGAGCTTCAGAGGATAATATAGTTCCATGGTATTATAGGATATCGTAATATGGTAAAACTCGGTATGTATCATCACAATAAGCATAAACAGATAAAGTTCTACATAAAGTAAAGTACATAAAGTATTCTTTGAATTAAGTACCAAGTATCAAGTACCATATTTTATGCATATGACAATAATTTGATATGTAATTATTTTGATAAGTTGAGTTATTTTTACACAAGTTTTTATAGTCCTACATGGCAAAAAATAAATAAATAAAAATAATTAATTAAACATTTTCTGAAATATATTATCAAATACTGTAGATTTACATAAATATATTTTGATGAATTTTACTTATATTTAATTTTTTTTAAATACATTTTTAATTGAATTTATATGCTCAAACTCAAATGTTCAATTTAAATGATCAAACATTCAACTTAAATATTTATTTACTAAAAAGCATTTTAAAAATTACTTTTACCCAAAATGTATTTTCTTGCCCCTCAAAGCAGATTTTGTAATATTTTTTTCATAAACAAAGTATTTTTTTCAAAGCAGAATTATTATAATGGAAGATCTTACTCAAGTTCTCAATGGTGTAGTATCTCTGTTTGTAGTCCACTTTAATGGTCTGGGCATGAGGGCTGCCGATCCCATAGCCGATAGTATAACCCCTCACCACAATGTCCTGGTTCTCTGGGGGCGTCCAGCTCACTACAATGCTGTTCACAAGTGGCCGCACGTGCAAGGAGCTCGGGACGGCTGGCACAGTTGTCTCTGAAACCAACGAACAAGCAAAATTACACTTTGTCATCCTAATCAAGCACCAGTGTCCACAAGATATCTGTCTGTTTTTACCATCCAGATCGCTCTCAAATGTCTCAGCAGTGGTCCAGTCTGTGGCCGGACCTGTGCCGTTGACCGTAATGGCAGACACTCGCAACATATATTCAGTGCCTCGCTGCAGACCTGAAAAATACAAGAAGAACTTCAATACAGGCTTTTGAATCACTTGAATTTGGTTCTACAAATACATATTCACAAGCTTTGTGAAACAAATATCACTTTTCAGCTAAAAGTGCACAAATGAACTCGATTTTTATGTTTGTTTGCGCTTCCCAGGATGTTCAGGGCGGTTCCCTGAGCGCCGCTAGTTTAAATCACTAACCCTACGTATGAGCAATAGTAAAAGTGAAGCACCACTTCTCAACCAATCAGTCAGCTCATTTCTCTGGAAACAAACAGAAAGATGCTTCACAACGCTCCACGTTTCTAAATCCATTTACTGAGACAAGATCGATAACCACCCCCGCATAATCATTATTGGCTCTGCTGTACGACATACTGACCTACACGCTACAGCATTGCCTACAGTGCTGATTTATAAAGGTCTGCTTCTACAAATCTGTATTACACTGGACTGACACAAACAACAAGATGAGAACTGACTGATTCCGGAGGGGAAAAGCAAAAAAAATGTTTTTCATAATTTCACATGTCTGATGCCATGGGCATGTTCTGGTTTTCACAGATGGAGGAATGAGGTTGTAATTGCTTTAAAATGTTAATAAGCGTCTGCTTAGAGTGTCGAATGCAAAAGTCAGAGCTGTTCCTACAGCCTTGTGGGAGACACTCCACTTCAAGCCTTTGAATTATCAAACATCTTATCTCAACTCAAATGGAACAGAAAACAACCATTATGCTCTTTGATGCCAACCAACCACAGCATGACTCCCATGAAGCTGTTGAAATCTATTTTGAATTTAATTCTCACTTTTGTTTCATTAATGGATAGAGTTTGTCACATGAGGCTTTATTTTTTGCAGGCTCATCTATTTTGTAATGTCTGAGAAATATATATTTTCCAGAGCTGTTGGTGGGGTTGACATGGCAGCTCAGAAGCACTGGTGTACAAGTGTATGGACAAAATTTACTCGTGCCTTTTAAAAAAAAATTCTCAACCAATGTGGGTTTTTGCAATGGCTGACACTTATGCCAGTATCTTGAGCAGGATGGCCAAGGACAGATACACTGGGGCTGTTAATGGATTAAAAAAAATAATCTAATTAATTACATGACACACTAATTAATTATTCAAAACGGGATCAGGCCAGATGAATAAATGTGTCAATTTTGTTCATTATTTTTCGTAATTAATGGTGCTAAATTAACTTGAAGTAACTAAATTGACAGGCCTATAATAATATCTTATAATGTATGCATATTTTATATAATATATACATACATATATAATATTTATATGATATGTAAAAAATATATAATATTTAAATATATATATATATTTTTAATGAATTAATTAATACATTTTTAAATTAGTCAAATGAATATATCTATAAATTAAATTAAATATCTAGAAACTAAATTAATACTTAATATACAATTTAAACAATAAAAAAACTAAAAATATTTCCAAAAAAGTATTTTTATTTATGTATTTATTTATAAATTTTTTTACATTATTTTGTCATTTTGAAAAAATGCAGAAATTACAGATTTTGCATTGTCAAGTCTGTCAGTAGATTTTGGAACTGAGCTGTCCATCAGTCAAATGACAGTTACTGGCCGAAGCCAGTGTTTTTCTGCAACCACTATGCGCGCGCAGCTGCAAGTGACGTAACTGTGACGTCTACTCTGAATTGGTCTATAGACCCTTTTAGGGCCGACGTCACAATTACAAAACAAAGGGGAAACTGGAGGCGGCCAATTCAAACCAGCGCAGATTCAGCTACACAAGGATCTTAAAATATCGTCTTATTGTGATGTTGGGTGCCAGAATCGACGTAGTAAAGGCTCCAATTTTAAAGCATACCTGCTGCCACCGCCAGACAAAAAAACGAAAATACAGAAAGTTCAAAATTAGTTTCTAATGTTTGTAATGTCACTGTAAACTTACATCATTTACAGGAGGTATATACTTTAAAATAACTATTTGTATCATTACATGACACATACATCTTCAAATAATATATCCATCACATTGAATGTTTAACTTTTTTTGTATTTTGGCATAGTTCACTCTAATAATGTAGCTGTAAAAATAGTTGCCTGCTGAAACTGAAATAGCCTATATATGCATCGTCATGACTAGACAGACACAGGTGAGTTTCTCTTTATTATAACGTTACACGTTAGGTTTCTCTATAGATGTGAATCACTCAACCGGAGGTAATCCTGTCAGATCATCCATGCTTTGAGCTAGCGTGTAGGGTCGGCCAATCTGGTTTCGTCCGTTAAAGTTAACCTTTTCAAATAACAGTCGCGATCCCGGACAGCGAGTGACTTTACAAGCAGGTAAAATCGGATTTTCTCCAGTCATTGTTAAAAAACAAAACAAAAACAAGCTAACAAACTTCATAGCTAGCGTTAGTGAAGCGGTCAGGGGAATCTTTCTGCCTCCACCTAAGCTCCGCCCACAGAAAAATGTCACAATGTTTACTAACAGAAAAAGGGTCTATATTGAAAACAACCAAATATTTGTCAGTCCTTCTGAGTTTGAAGTGTTGTTCAGCTTACCATCTATGAGCTGATAGAGTTGCGATCCTGAAGTAATCTCCGCCGCCTCGCTCTTCCTCGTACCCTTCCTGTAGCGGATCTTGTAGCCGATGATCTCACCGTTCTGAGCATCTGCTGGTGGAGGCTGCCATCTGACCATGATGCTCTACAAAGTTTACACATTTGAGAAAACCAAAAAACATCCTCAGCATCACACATTCTGATTTCCTTCCAGAGCAATAACCACAGTGTATCAAAGGGGAGAATTAGCGCTGCACCTCCTTCTGGGCACCTACAGTACATGCAAAATCACCATAGTAACAAGCCTGAGTGTAGGCATCTAACCTAAGTCATCGTCTCCCCGAGGCATATATTAGAGAATGTGATCATCTTGCACATTAAGCATGCGCAAGTATATCAGTCCTGCAGCAGAGGGCATTGGGCGAGCAGCAGAGACCGGCCCGCACCGAACCCATGAATAATAGATAAAGCTGTGCAGTGTAGAGGAGCCTGCGGGAACGCAGCTCAGGATGGATGGAAAAGGCTAGCTGCAGGGCCCACGGTGCCTGCTGGGATAATGAAGGCAGGGAGAGGGGCCGCCCAGCGTGGGTGGGGAATTAATTAATAGTATCCACAGTTGCCGTGTTCACGGGCCATGAGGGAATAAACCGAATTAAATCTGCACCATGTATGCAATTACTGTATTTCAATTTTCTACCAATTCCAGTTTACCTCGCTAAATACTGCTTGTGTTTTCAGGCAAACAAACTTGTTTTAATTGACTTATGGGTCACAAGGGTGCACGGTGCTACCAGTGGAGGCCTCACATGCAGTAAGTCATTGTGCTCATTATACGCACCCAGACTGAATTCCCCGTCTGTTGCGTAGCACCCCAGGGGGTCCTGATACAGTACCGTAGAAGCCCACTAATTAACCATCTTATACAAAACTGAAAAAAGCTTCTGTCTGGGACTTAAAGCCTTCATTATTATTCAGTGCTAATTACTGAGCCATAAAACCCATTACAGGCTTGAAAGTGTGTGGATCTGTGTATACCCACAATGCAAAGTGACTGCAGTTGAACTGGATTGTTACAGTTTTGGAAGAAAATGCGAGTTCGAGTTATGCCTGTGCAAAACTTGCTGTCATTATGCTATGGTCCTCTTGGTAGTAAAATGTTGTTAGGTGGTTGCTAACATGTTCTGAATGGTTTATATGCTGTTGCTAGGGTTAGGGTTAGGGTTATTAAGACTTGTATGGCTTAATATAACGTAAATGATGTTTCTTACTGAAATATGTAGGGGAAAACACCTATGAAAGATTTACATTATTTAAAAACTCCACAAAGTTTTATACATATTTTGGACTGTGAGGGTGCCATTATTTCGATGACGTCAGTGAGCTGGCGCTACCTGTTGCTATTTTTACCGCAACACAACTCGGAAAATAAAATACTGATACGATGCCACATTGTGCGGCTTTTGGTTGTAATTTTCAGTCGAAGGGCAACAAGAGAAGCGATGTAAGTCTTCACTGCTTTCTTAGCGATAAGAAGAGGAGAAAAGAATGGGAAGATGCCTGTGGACGAATAAAACTTCCTAAAGCCCCGCGTCTTTGTTCTCTCCACTTAAGCCCTGATGGCTTTGAGGCTTTTAGTAGACCACAGCTACTGAAAGAGCTTACAAACGGCAGAGACAAGAAACGCTAGATGTCATCCTGGCAGGATGTAAACATGCCGACACTTGTCATGACGCCGCAGACACTGAAGGAGTTTCTCAGCGCAGATTTTACTCAATATCCAGGGGCGTTTAGACTCCTTGTCTGGACAATTCGATGGTACAACATTTGGGTTAAGCCTACGCTTATATCCATCGCCACCTGTAAGCTTTTTTAGTAGCTGTGGTCTACTAAAAGCCTCAAAGGCATCAGGGCTAAAGTGGAGAGAACAAAGACGCGGGGCTTTAGGAAGTTTTAAATCTTTCATGGGTTTTCTACTACATATTTCAGTAAGAGACATCATTTACGTTATATTACGCCATACAAGTCTTAATACCCAGGGTTCCCTTTAAGTCTTGACCTATAGACCAGAGAAACAATGCGCAGCCATCTTTAGAATTTTGTCGTTAAACTTCCGTTTTTGTGGTAGCTCTATAGCATCGCTGTTGTGGCTGGTGAAGTGGATTTACTTATTGTAGACTTATCATGTGCATAATGTTCGAAGCGGATGTCATAACAAATGTCAGTAGAGTGGGAAGATTTTAAAACAAGTGATTCATTCATAAATCTGTAAGATCTTACCTTTATGCTGTGGAAATACAAACCAGAAGAAAGAAGGTACAGAGCTACATAAGGTCTATAGATGGGTTCTTTAATGTCTTGTTGAATGTTACGTTTTATTTAATATTTATTTAATATTAGTTTTATTTCATATATATATATATATATACACACACATACATACATACATGCATATTAATTAATTAATATTTATTAATATCTGTTTTGCTTTGTCAATATTGTTTGTAAAATAGTCATACCAAGAAATAAATCTATGATGTTGTGGTCCCAAAATATGGCTAATGTTTATCTTAATGTTCACATTATTATTATTATTATTAATATTATTACTTTTTTGAGTAGACCATTTTAAGAAGAACATTCATGTCTGTAGCACTAATGGTTTTGTGCTTAAGTTAATATTTGTCACAAAAAAGACGTGATCTAATAATTTTCTACCCTATTGTGACATATTCAAGCAGAGGCGGACAGTAACTAACTACATGAGTATTGTACTTAAGTACACTTTTTGAAAATCTGTACTTTACTTGAGTATTATTTTTTCTGGAAACTTATGACTTTAACTTCACTACATTTGAAAGACAAATATTGTACTTTTCACTCCACTACATTTCTATCAAGGTCCTCGAAGTGGAAGCATTTTTTGGTCCAGGTGGCCCACGACCACTTCTATATACAGTATATATATATATATATATATATATGATATAGCCTACACTACCAGTCAAAAGTTCAAAAGTCTCTTCTGCTCACCAAGCCTGCATTTATTTTATCCAAAATACAGCAAATACAGTAATATTGTGAAATATTTTTACTATTTAAAATAACTGTTTACTATTTGAATATATTTTAAAATGTAATTTCTTCCTGTGATTTCAAAGCTGAATTTTTAGCATCATTACTCCAGTCTTCAGTGTCACATGACCCTTCAGAAATCATTCTAATATGCTGATTTGCTGCTCAAAAAGCATTTATTATTATTATTATGTTGAAAACAGCTGAGTAGAATTTTTTCAGGTTTCTTTGATGAATA